TGCTGTTAGTTCCAAAATATATATATATATATACATATATATATATTTTAAGCCCTTAAAATTATATTGAAGTCCTTAAACTTCTTTCACTAAGAATTGAAGGAAACTCATCCAGTGTAGTAAAGGTTACATTACTGTTGTTATGAAGGTCCCTAATATCTTGCTGTTATGTAGGTTCCTAATATCTAAAAAGCAGTTAACAAGCAATTTCCAAAAGTGATTAAGATAGCAAGTATGCGGACCCAGTATCCTTTTAAAGGTGCCTAACTGCAGTTTGGGCTACAATGGCGTTCCCTTGACTCCCAGAGCTCTAAACCTGCTGGAGACTGCTGTTTTGTGGTCTCCTTGTGAAGAGCAACTGTCTGGAGCACTTATGGGCGATCCTGGTCCTTTCCTTGCCTGGAGAGGAATCGTGAAAAGTTGGTCTATTCACTGGCTCTTCATTCTGCCACAGTCATCCACTCCAGTCTCAGTGGAGCCATCTTCAGTTTGCCATTTCTCCCCTGGAAGTGCAAGTTTCCCAACTTTTGACATGCTGTATCATAGTGAGAACATTAGACTCCTCAGTAGAAGGAAACTGTTGGCTACAAAACAAAAATACCTCAACATGGACAAAGCATTTAGCCTTTTTGACATTTTGCTTTTATGTGTATGTAGGAACAAAAGATAAATCCTTGTTATTATACCTTAGGCCAGCAATAGCAGGATACAAATATAAGCAATACTTATTCTTGGGATTCTTCCAGAGTCTACAGAAAAGGTGACTCTTATTTATGTTTACTCTGAACCATGTGAGTAGATTTTACTTTCCAGCAAAGGATTTCAGTTTTAGTATCAAGTTCTCTTAGCAATACAGCAAACCTATAAAGGCACCCAGAAAATACAAATGCTGTATTATATTTAATAAAAAAGACAGAACTAATTTGATTAAGACATTAGTTATATCAGCATTAGAGGTTCTGTATTAAGACCTAAGCTTATAACGAAAAATAATGTCAGAATCTGGCAATAAAATACCCAAGCCTATTCTATCCTTTTCCTGTCCAAGTTGTTTGGCTTCCATTATTTCCATATCAAAATAAACCAATGCTAAGATCAGAAACAGCTTAATTTCATTCATTGCAAAGAATCTGCCAGGACACATGCTGCTTCCAGAGCCAAAAGGCATTAGAAAGTATTTCAGCTTCTTTCCCTGTTTGAAGAAGGTTGTTTTCTTCTTGCCGTTTTCCACATAGCGGTCAAATTTATATGCCTGGAAAAAAATAAGAGAATTAAGATAGTGGTTCCAAAGATGTAATATGGATCTAAAAGCATCTTTGTTTTTGCTCATGATACTTCTGGAAGGCAAGCAAGACTACACTTGTGTCTTAAGAAGCCTTAAAATGTGGCCCTCTTGTCTCAACCCAGGCCCATGTATCCTATTTTATGAACAGGTCTCCTATGCTTTACACCTTTAGATACCTTTCCTTCTGGATTTCATTTAAAACAAACTGGATGACTATTCATCTGTCTATGGATTTTGAGTTCCATGTGGATATACGGTGATGACACAGAAACACGAACACAGTACATTAAGATAATAAAAAGAAACATAATAAAAGAAGCACTATGTATTTTGGTTTTGGCATTTGCTTTTTTAACTAAAAAAAGGGGAGGTAAAACCACTCACTTCCCTCAGGCCAGTGTGACTGCCCTTCTTCGCTTTTGTTCTCCCTGTTCAGCTCTATACCCTATCTCCCTTTTTCTAACATCTGAGCAATATCTTTCTTAACCACCACCTTATCATTTTCCTCTACTCCACACCCAATTTCAGTTTCATCTCCCTGCTTGTTAAATTTGACCAAGTCCCACAGAAGCCATGCCATGCTCTAGGGACTGGTCATGGTGTGACCTTGGTACTTCGGGGAGAATGTGCAACAGCAAAATAAACATGACGTAAGTCAAGGCATGACCAAGGTAGGAAGGATAACAATTAGAAGCTTGCCAACTACCACCACAAACAACAACAATGATGATAATTTTAAATAATCCCTTAGATTATTAAGAATCATTCCAGGACTAGAAATTCCCTGCTGGAAAGCCTTCTAACTTGTGAAGGAGTGTGAAGGAGAGTCTAAATGCATTAACATGCACTATTGAGGCAACCTTGCAATATGTTCATACAGAAAATCTGGGACGACTGGAATCAAAACTAGAAGGGCACACTGTCCTTGTTTATAGTTTTAGTAATTGATAAAGGACCCATCTGTTTAAAGTATGTTGCAACCAGGAAATCATTGAAGAATACAGACTAGGGACTTCAGAGTGAATGCATTAAAGCACAACTTACAGATGGTCCTTCAGACACACTTATGTGCACTCTCACCTCATCCTTACTGAAAGCCCATCTTTTAAGTTCTGTACACTAGCAGATTCAACTGTGATTCTGCCAGTAAGCCATGTTATGCAAATAGGAGCACCAAGAAATTGGCTTTCATCTTTTTGTGGGCTGAAGGAGGGGCAACTGGGGAGATTTGTTTTAGTCTATGCTAAACCTGAATCAGGGTTTCCACTGTAGTTTTTGTAGGCTTTATACCTCTAATTGGCAGAAATGTGCCCTATCATTTTTTTCCAACTCTGATTGGAGGCAATTCCTTGGTAGTAAAAATTCATGCCTACATTAAGTGGAACTGGTGACACTGATGAGCTGGGGCTGCCCTTGAAAATGATCAGAAAGCTTAAGTTAGCGTAGAATGAGGCAACCAGAACTATATCCTGCACAGCCAAGCAAAACTGTATCCCTGCTGCTTCTGAAGGGTTTGTACTCACTGCTTATCTGCCCCTCATCTAAATTCAAGATTTATTAAATTCAGCTTTTAGAACTCTAAAGGATTCCCAAAGCTCTTTAAAACTCAGGTCCTCATTGCCTTCAGGACCATCTGATCCAGACAGGATCTGCCCACCTACTTTGTATGGCCAAGAGTCCCTCCTCCCAAAAAGTCACAGGAGAGGTAGCCAGGAAATTGGGCTTCTTCATGGTGGCTCTTGGCTTTGGAACAGCTTGCCTCATGAAGTGAGGGTGGGCCCTTCCCCATTTTTTTCAAAAAGAATCAGAACTGCTTTTCCAATGGGTCTTCAGGACAGATGGTGCAATATACAGTAATTGTAAGTAACCAACTCAGGGAGAAAATATTATGTAGCTGAGGGCTACATGATTAACTTTATTTCGTTGATCTTAACTTTCAATATTTTGTTAATGGTTGTTTATGTTTTTTACCTTAATATGAGCTGCCTAGAGCAATAGTGGAGTCTCCTCTTTAAATAGCTGAGATACACTTTTGTGTCTACAGTGAGTAACCTTTCACTGTGCCATGACAATTATGAAATATCCCAGCCTCTGAAGCAGGCTGACACCAACTTTGCTATTGTGTGGTGCAGCTCAAAACCTTTTGTTTATCCAAACAGATTTTGTATGTTCCATTGTATTTCTCGTCTTCTTTGTTGTCCTCATGAGGAATTGGTTTTAGTGTTACATGAGTTGGACCATTCCAAGTCAAACTGGGTTCTCTGTTATTTGAGCAGGTGCGTAGAAAATATGGATAAGACTACAAGTTATAAGAGCTAAATTCAACTTTTGAACTTGTCTACACACCAAATTATTGAAGGGGCCAAGAATTAAAGTTGGTTATAATGATATCCCTCATGTATTTCATACATTTTGCCTTCGATTGAAAGTTATGCCCAGGCCAGGTAATAACACCTAACCATCCTTGGTTGGTCTCAGATACAGATCTCCCGTTCACTGAGCTTAACTTTTGAGGTCTTTCTTTTTGTACTCAAGCATTCTAAGGCTAGGCAGATGACTGAAAGGGTCTTTTTTGAATGCTACCCAAATGGTGTTATTCTCTATTTAGACCTATCCAACGTGCTAACTTGACTTTAATTTTAACAGTACCTGTTTTTAATGGTACTAAACACACTTTTAATATTTTTTTTAGCTATACTTTTATTAGATGACTTGGTTTTGTGTTGTTACTTTGAGAATTGTTGCTACATTTGTTGATTGCTGTAAGTTGCCTTGAGAAAGTCATAATTGAAATGTGCGTTATAAACCTTATAAATTACACACACACACACACACAAACACACGCTAAAGTCAGGAATAAATATAGTGAGCAAGCCCATTTGGTACAAGTAAGAGTATACAAGTACAGAGAGGTGTATCACATAAACATTTGCATACTTTCTGGCTAAAACAAACAAGCAATACAATTACAGCTTTGCATTACAAATATTTAAAAAGAACACTGCAGTATGCAAAGTACCACAGTTTTAACTAGAATACTACACTGGGTGTAACATGCTTGATAAACTGTTTTGACCTGTGCCAATCTGTCATCATGTTAAGAACATCAGTCAACAAGGCACAGGGGTGCAACAGTATTTTGGGTTGAAGGCCACATTTAAATAGCAAGTAGAAAGCCTCACTCCAAAAGTAGCTGGATCTGAACAAAAAACAATTTTGATTTAATGTGGTGTTATATTTAAATCACATTAAATTAATTAACTGAATGCAATTACAATTCATGTACTTAATATTTAAAATAAAATTTTGTAGTAATTTTTAAAGGGTTCTAGGAGCCACAGCCATAGATTTCAGGGACCTATGTGATCCTAGGATTTGTATACTGACTTTTAAACAAGTTGATTATTTTAAATAATTTGTTTTAATTGATTTTATCTGATTCATGCATACTTATATGCTTAATGTTTTTAGCATTATACTTCTTGATACTTTTACCTATGTAAACTGCCAACTCTATAAATACATGTCAACATCCTAAGCGTAGAAAGCAGCATGTTTTATTTTCAGCATCATGTTCTCAAAAGTTAACAATAGTGATTCTTCCATTAAAATGGGCTGGCTCCAGAATGAGCCCATCTATGGCTGGAAGTGCCCCTTCTGTCAGGAAGTGATTTTTGATTCAGCATAACTTTTCTGCCGGCAGAATGAAAAAGGTAGCAATTTTCATCAATTCTCACATTCCTGGAACTTATTTATTTCATCACAGAATGCAAATAAAAATAATTACCAATCAAAACAATTTACATTAAAGCACCTGCGCTTTACAATAAAATACACATGATATTTTAAAAAGTAAAAATGAATGTATCAACCAATTTTTTGAGCAGCCTGTGAAAAGGCAGGTAGGAAAAACCTAGGAAAGGCCAGGAAAAGCAGATTTTCAGTTTAGGTGAGAAACATTTTGTGGTTGGGGCCCACCAAAGTTCTTTCAGGAACAGGAACACCCATCTGTATACTGAAACTAATCAAAAAGCTATGGAATGGTCAGCAAGTTATCCTGACCAGAATGTAAAGATCAGAGAGGACTAGATGGAAGCAGGTGCTTCTTCAAATAACCTAATTCCAAAATAATTAGGCTCATACACATCAAGGACCATATTTTGAAAATGGCTCAGCAGCTCATTGTCAGTCAGTGAAAGGGGACTAGGGGATGTTGGTGATTTGAGAGGAACGTGGCATTTCTCAAGACTTCTCCTTTGTCCAAGTGGGAATATACTTAATGGACCCTTCCCTAAAGTTTGCTCCTACCAGTGGGGGAAAAAAAAATCAATGTTCAGAAATCCCCCTTCCTCCTAACCTTCAGAAAATCTGTGAAGACTTTGCTATTTCACCAAGATCTGGGGGTAGGGCTGCTATGATTATCCCTCTGATGAGTAATCAGTTTTAATTGTGTTTTTGGAATGATTGATTCCTACTGTATATGGTTGTTTTATAATGTATGATCTTGCTTTTAATTTTTAATTATTAGAAATTTATTTTAACCCAAATTATGGATTTGGGGAGTTGAATACTGCTCAGAATCACTTGATTGGAGAGGCCTATATGCCCTATAAACTGTGACTCCAGCAACAATGCCATTTCCTGGAACCCTTGCAATTCAGGAAAAAAATAGAATTTTCACAAAAAGTCCCCATTCATGGCTTTTGTAAAGCCATGTGACTTGGATTTCTGTCTCTACAGCATCCCTAACCCAGCTACAAAATATCTCAGTAAAAACTAAGGGAACAGCCCTCCAATTTGCATGCAGGTGATGAACTTCTGGAGCTGCATTAAGCTGAACTAGACAGGATTAATTTGCAGTCTTTGATATTCATTAACTTTAGCCTCAGAAAAGGGAAAATACATGGAGATGACACAATTACCCTCAAAGCTTCATTGCAGAGCAACAGCTTTACAATCCTGAGTTCACAACGCCATACTAATTGACCACAAAAAGACCAATCCCCATAAAGAGAGGTGAAAAACCATACGTCTCAAGAAGACACTGCTATTATAGGGCTTTAGAGAATCAATGATGCTTTGGGGGCACTTAACTAAATGGCCCACATTATTTGCTCTTTAAGCCACCTTCTATTATTCCGCCTTCTTTGGGCATCCAATGATCCACTTCCAAACAAAGCCCACATTTAGCCTCAAGTTTATGGTAGTCAGTGAACAATTGTCAGTTCTTCTCAAAGGGGGTAAGCAGCCAATCTCATCACCATTATTTCTCTCTTTTGGCCATGAATCCTTTGACCTGCAGCAGGCACCTTGAAAAGATCTGAAAGTAGGAAGATTTGTTCCACAAGAAGGAACAGCAGTTTTTTCTTCTCTTTTCTTAAAAAAAAAAAAAGATCTGTATTACAAAATGCCTGGTAGCAGAAATATGCCTGAGATCATATGTGTAATACCAGTGAATGCTTACCTTAGGATCTTCGTAGATCTCAGGGTCCAGGTGCAGAACTGGAGGAAAAATTGCTACAAAATCTCCTTTTCTCAAACTGACTTCATGATTCTCTTCAAGCTTGAGAATAAAATTTTCTTTGATTGCACGGATATTCATTGAAGAGGAACACATTCGTAAACTCTCATTTATAGCACTTTCTGCATTTAAATAAAGAGAAGAGCAGAACAAAATAAGATCTTTAAGCCATTACAAATGTGGAACTTATAAGCTCCTACAGTGGCCACTGAATTAGGTTTACTAGATGTGGCTAGAAAAAGAAATTGAGGAGAGAAAAGTGGGCAGTGGAGGGGGGGGGGGAGCCAAAAAGACACACTAATGCTTCCCCATAGGGCTAATGGAATATTTGCTGTTTGGAATTTTTAGATATAATTCTTAATTGATAGGTGTGGAAAACCATTATCTGGACATCTCACTGAAATGCCACAACCAAAAGAGGGGGATATTTTTATGCGTTTGCACACACTGTAAGGGTTGCAATACCAGCTCCAGCATTCAAAGCTCTCTTCCAAAGGCCATGTGCGACGCTTCAATCATGCATTACAAAACGATGCACTCAAATAACTATACAGTGAACTGTGAGGTTAGGATACTGGGAATTAAGGAACCCTTAGCAATATCATCATCACATCATAATTTCTACTGTTGGCTGAGCAAATTCAAATTATGCGTGGCACTTTGACAAGTTAATGGGGGAAAACCCATATCCCGTGTAATGTTTTGACACAAATCCCAAACCTTTTCCAGACGCCCACCATAACTTGGAAAGCTTGGGAAGGCAAATGTCCTTGCCTTCCCAGTAGCCTTCACCTTTTGCTCCTAGCATGACAGATTTTATGGCTAATTTCCGGCAATTTATCCTGGCAGTTTGAGGAGAAATTCCTTTGGGAATTATATGCATAATTTGCATAAATCATTCTGATAGCATGCATACCAGCATGTACCTCCTGTCTGGGGCTGCATCTCTCACTTAGTAATCAAAACTGACTATTTCTCCACCAGCATGGCAGGGTCCTGTAAGAGACAGCATGACTCCTTTAAGCTATCAGTGTGAAAACAAGCCTTAGCAATACAAAACCAGAGCGCCCTTAGAACATAAGATCAAGCATAGGTGGTTGCTTATATGCATTTTGGAATATCCATATTTAACCCCCCTTTGCCAGATCAGCTTTGGTGAATCCCTAGAACCCAAAGGTTAATTCACAGGAAAGCGTAGCAACCCCAGCCCAGAAGCATCTGAAAAAGACAATAACTAATGTTCTTTTTACAAAAATTAAAAACAGTGCAAGCATGTATGGCAAATAAAGATGATTTGGATGCTTTTCTGCAAGAGTTTTTTTCCTTAAGCATGTATTTGTCTAAAGAAATGAGGTTGCGGTCAGTTCTGTGTGGCCAACACCGTGATTCAATGTGACGTACAGTGAGGCTGTGCATATTTTTTTTGGACTGCCTTCGTTACTATAATCAGGGAGAATCAAGTTGGTTTGTTGATGACGAAGCCAGAAAAAAGCTCTGGTTCCAGAATATGGCCTATATTGCGGATAGCCACAAGGCACAATAGATGTCAAATGGCAGCGTTCTGGCAAGAGAAAACTTCCCCCAATACAAAAGAAAGGTCCAGACTCCCCTCCTTGGCTTTATGCAGCCTAGGCATAACGAAGCCGATTAGACTGTTGTAGGCTGCAGTGTGGAAATGGTAACTGACATATGTAGGGCCAAAGCAACCAAATCTTGACTGGGGGGCAGGGAGGGGAAGGGAGTGAAGCACAGAACACACAACAACGACAAGCAAAATAATCAGGCAAGTGTTGCTGCTGCTGAAATAGCAGGTTTCCACTTGAGTAGCACAAGCCACACAGTCATATCAGATTGGCTGACATTTTCCTAGGAAGCATGGCAGTCTGTTGACCACTGTGGTATCCCAAATGACAATCGGGTAAACTTCTCTTCTAGAGAAGTTAATCACAGTAATGGAGCTCAGAACACGGCTTAGTGGTCAGATCATAAATGACAAATCTATTTTACCTTCTAGTACCAGCTATGTGGGGAAAGGCGATTGCTCTGAGCGATCTTGCCGATAATCCTTAGATGACAAAGGTAATGAGTCACATTATGATCAGCAAAGGAGGAGGGAGTTTGTGGCAGTCAACCATGGAAATAAACAAACAAAAAATGACACTCTTTCCCAGTCCCTCCTCCCTTCCCCACTTCCCAACCATTCTTATACATTGGATTTAGACACTGAATGACAACTAGATGATAAAACAGCAGCCTGTACAGTACTTGCAGTTGTCATACTTCAGTAGGCATAAGCCAGCACTCCTGTAAGACCAGCTGGATAGCCTGGGAGGCCTTCCATTTTGCACCATGAGGTACCGTAAATGATCCAGCTCTGTAGAGCAACATCTGTTTCTGTGCTAGTGCTGAACAAACAAGGCAATTTGAAGCAAAGCAAGAGATAACCAAGCAGCAAATGAACATGACCCTCATGTTTTCCCACTTCCTATACACATGAGATGCTGAAACTTCAACACATGAAGAGAGATTGTCAGAAAAGTTGACATATTTTCTAAGGAGGGAAAGAGAGAGAGAGAGGGAGGGAGGGAGAAGGGGGCCTTCAGACTTCCCATAGTATTATTTTTAGAGTCCTCCCACTCCCCTTTTCTCTTACATTCCCTGCTTCCAATTCACCCACAATCTTTTTTTAAAAGTCGAAGCCATTTCAATATACTTATAAATATTCAGTCTTTAAACCTAATTTGCTATACTTAGTTCACATGCCTTCAAGCATTTGTCTTCCAATTTCCACTGAATAAATGCGTACTAATGAGAAATGGAGCAAGCTGCTGAGGCAAAGCTGGGCGACTTGCGCCTGGCCCGCCACCAGCTTGTGATAGGCAGGCAAATTGAGTTAAAATGAAAAGTCTTGTCAGCTGAAATACAACACAGGAGCCAAACAGCAAGCTGTCAATCATCCAGCCAAAACAAGGGACTGCAGGTAATAAAAGGTCATTGTGAATCATTAGTACATTTGGCTTTCATAAGCAAGTTAATTTTAATTAAACATGATCTTGATCTGTTACTGTTTAATAAAAAAATACTTGCTGCAAATAATGGATTGTTAATTTTATATTAAGCATTTAGCAGGTAATAGGAACTCTGTAAACGTCAAGGCTATGTGGAAGAAAAATAGTTGTTCAATATGCAAATATTTTGGATACATCTACTCTTTTCAGAGCACTGTGATTATACGAAGAATAATTATGGAATACAATGCACCTGTAATTTACATAAGGATTGAACAGAGCTAAATTAATCATAGGATACAAAGATAAAGGATCCATTCTCTCCCACCTCATTCAGTCTTAAAACAGTGATGTCTAATTGTGGCATGTATACTGTATCTTTCAGAATAGTTTGCACCCTAGCACTGTTTAATTTTAGTTCTCCTATCGGCTAGTGAACAATTTCCCATGCAATGTTCTCTTTAGTGCAAATTACTGGTATTCAGGGCAATATTAATTTGCATTAGGAATGTATATATTATTTAAATGGATGCAAATAAAATATGACCAAAGCTAAAGGTGCATTAGATGTATGTGTTTCAGTTTTTCTATCATGGTCATGGTCATAAAAACCATCAGACCATTCCTATGCTGCTGTTTCTGAATTAAGATTCCATAGTGACTCATAAAGCCCAACATGGTTAAGTTGCTATGAATGCACAAGTAATTTTTTCTGGTACTTCTTGCAAATCAGCTGTTAATATCAAAACAAGATTGTTACAGAGATCCTTGCAGTGCAGAAAGGAAACTGAGGAATGGGATTATATGAACCTATATGTTCCTGGCATTTGAACTTTCATCACACATGATTTGCAATAGATCAGAATGTAGACAACTTTTGCAGTCTCTTTCAGATAGATAGATAGATAGATAGATAGATAGATAGATAGATAGATAGATAGATAGATAGATTCATTCTCTCTATGCACATGGAACCAATTGAGGTTGCATGTGGAATACATGCAAGCACACACATACACGTATACGCACACACACACACACACACTTTCAGCAAATGGTAAATATATTGGCAGGGCCTATGAGAAAACTGGGCTGAACTTCTCACAGTTTCAGGGGATACACATTATATGATTAAGTGCTATAGGCAGCTCCTGATCTACAGGTTGCCATGCGTGATCTATATCTTTAGGAAACACTGAATTGGTTCTCAGAAGTGGACAACCAAGGGAAAACTATACTTTATTTATTACTATGGGCTGGTACCTTTTAGACCTTTTCTATGCTATGAATTTATAGCATTTTATAATATCATCCAGCCATTGCTATGTTGATATATCACTAATGAAGACAAGCTTTATATTCCCACAGCAATGGCTGGATTATGGTAAAATACATTATAAATCCAAATGTGCAGATGGTTTAGGTGGTGGCTTGATAATGCATCAACAACTCAGTGGTAGATATTAATTCACTTTTAAACAAAGTACTTAATCACAAACTTTGTGGACATAACAGAATGGAGTTGGAAGAAACACTGTGCAAAGAAAACAAAATTCAAAGGAAATATTTTTGGAAATATATTATCAAGAAAATCCATGTGAGAAGGAAACTTTACAGAAAGAATGCTTATTTCTGAGTATTTGGATGAAATCTTGAAGCGTACATTTAAAAGTGTTCTTATCAAATAAAATTTCTGGCTTTGAGAGAAATCCATAATTTTGAAACATTTAAAACTGCAGTTTACTAACCAAGTCACTGAGAGGGGGACAGTATTCTTGATAAACCCTTCCTCCCAGTAACCTTGCTGTAGATCAGTGTTTCTCAACCTTGGCACATATTTGAGATGTGTGGACTTCACCTCCAGAATTCCCCAGCCAGCATGTCCACATATGTTAAAGTTGCCATGGTTGAGAAACATTGCTCTAGATCACTGAGAGGAACAGAAATGAGGGAGGGAAGAGGATGTGTGCATTAGTGTGTGGAGAAATACATGTCTGTGTGTGAGCACAGGAGTATAGTGAATGGGCAGGCAAGCCTCGCCCTTACATTTACTCTCACAGTCTGCCTGCCAGCCCCTTATGTCAGATGGCAAGTTGCCAGCTTAGCCACTCAAA